ACTGAAGAAGCTAAGGGAAATAATCTAGCTGATGCTGCAGCAAAGAATGCTGCCCAAGGAGAGATGGCCTGTCCTATAGGAGAATGCACTTTCCGTCCTGCTATTACCCTAAGATTCTTTCACAATACCAACAAGCATCAACCCCTCAAGAAAAACAAATCGATTTGGCAGCAAAAGGGAGGCGTATTTGACCCAAGTAGAGAATTGTGGCTAGGTCCTAACAAGAAACCCATAGTTCCCTTAGGTGCACAATTACCTCTCCTGCAGTTCATTCATGAAATGACTCATTGGGCCTCTGAGAAAATGATATCATTGGGGAAAATATTTCTGGAAACCATCGCCTACAATAGCCCAAAAGGTATACTCTTGATGTACTATATGTCCAAATCATAACCCTGGCAAGCCCTTACAAGGTCATTTTCCTGTGCATTTGAACAATTTGAAGTATGGCAATTGGATTTTATTCACATGCCGTCTCGAAATTATAAATATGTATTGGTCTTGGTTTGAATGTTTTCTCACTGGGTAGAAGCATTTCCTTGTCAGAGGGCGACTGCCTTAGCATAGGCAAAATACTGTTAAAGAATCATTCCAATTTGGGGAATCCCATCTGAGTAACACAGTGATTGTGAGACTCACTTTACTAGACAAGTTGTTCAATCCATTTGCAGAATCTGGCCCATTATACAACATTTCCATTGTGCCTATCCTCCCCAATCCTCTGGGTTGGTTGAATGTACAAATGGCACAACAAAATATTAGTTAACGGAGGCTTTTAACCTCCCTTGGCCAAAAGCCCTCCCACTGGCCTTGTTTAACGTTAGATCCACTCCTTTAGGAAAACACTATCACCTTATGAAATAATAACAAGAAGACCTATGAGGCTGGATGAAGGCTTATACGAGCCAGCCTTACTCAACAGGGAAATACTACATTATTTCCAAGGACTACTTAAAACTTTAATAAATAATACAAAGCTGGTAACAGAGTCTTTTCACAGCCAGCTCCTGGGGGCCAAAGACTGCAAGGATCACGGATTACAGCCGGGTGACTTTGTTTATTGGAAAAGGCACCAACTAAAGGACTCCTTACAACCCCGCTGGAAGGACCTTACTGGGTACTTTTAACTAACTCTTGTGCTGCAAAATTAAAAGGACTTGCTTCTTGGATTCACTTCTCACACCTAAAACAAGTACCTGACCACATTCCTGACCACACCTGGACCTCTGAACCAGTCTCTGACACCTGCCTATCATTTTGGAAACACATCTGAGGCTCAGCCGATCTCCAAAGCAACAACTGAAGCAGACATTTTTTTGGAGACATTAGACCTGGCCAGTCCTCATGAACCCTGAAATAACTCTCATTTTCACCTAACTTGCTATAGAATATATTACAGAAAACCCTGAATGCCTTAACCAAGACCCCCAAGAAGTTGTTTGGGATCTATGGAATCTCCCTTGGGATAACATTCTAAATGGTTATGAATTTCCTTGTTAAAATTAGAAAAATGTTTTACCTGCTCACCCTCCTTCCCATAATTTCCTCTATTTGCCTACCCTGCACTCCTTCTCTCTTCAAACCTGAAAACTTGTCCCGGTTCCCTGCAAACCTCACCGATTTCCCTGCTGATAGAGCCAACATTGTTTGGTATGACACAGATCAGGATGAAATGAAGGTCACTGAACGAATCGAGGTTCCCCTTTTTCAGGGTACCTCTATTATAAGGCTGTCATCAAATGTGATGCCCTACAGGAATATTTACCCATTATGCCTCAGGATGATTACTGAGGGGGTCTAATCAAATAGAATATTACATAACATAGATATATTGGTGACAAGCTCAGATAACTGCCTGGGTATGACGGAAGAGACCTAGCTGCCTCCTGTGTAAACTGACGCAGCATAAGCTGTCGGAATGACGACCAGCCCTGTGCTTGTGGCTGGATGCCCTTATCCAGCACCAACCGCATCGACACTGCCCTTAAAGAACTATTTATGGGAGTCAGTTGGTGGACAGAAGTACCAGACAGCACAAATCCCACTCTAAGCCAAGGGCACCTCTGGGAAGCCTTATGGATTACCCAGACAAGGACATACTTAGGTGTAACCTCCACTCACCTGACAATTGTTTGGGATACCCAACGGTTCTGAATTACCCAAATTGAGCTGAGGCCATTAGTGTACAAAAGGCAATAGCATTCCTGGTGGATATAACAAAATTGGCCACGCAAAAGACAAAAATGTGACCTCACTGGAGGGATTGGAATTGGCTCAGTATAAATTGTTCCAGGGCTATCTATTTGAGCTGATGACTAACTTTTCCTTTCCCTTCTCCCTTGCTCATATCTAATTGACTGCATACTCTAACACCTTGGCTAATTTTAATGTATCCTTTCCTTGTAATAAACATGATCTTGAGTATAACAGTTTTCAATTAGTTTTGTGACACCTTCTAGCAAATTATTGAGCTCGAGGGTGGTTGTGAGAAGCCCCAAATTTGTAGCTAGCTGGTCCAAAGTGACGATGGTCTTGGGGACTCTTGAACTTGCAGCTGGTATCTAAAGTGAGGAAAGGCCAGGCGTAGTCACTCACGCCTGTAATCCTAGCACTCTGGGAGGCCGAGGCGGGAGGATCACTCAAGGTCAGGAGTTCAAGATCAGCCTGAGCAAGAGTGAGACCTCGTCTCTGCTAAAAATAGAAAGAAACTAGCTGGGCAACTAAACATATATAGAAAAAGTAAGTCGGGCATGGTGGCACATGCCTGTAGTCCCAGCTACTTGGGAGGCTGAGGCAGAAGGATTGCTTGGGCCCAGGAGTTTGAGGTTGCTGCGAGCTAGGTTAACGCCACGGCACTCTAGCCCGGGCAACAGAGTGAGGCTCTGTCTCAAAAATAAATAAATAAATAAACAAATAATAAAAAAAATAAAAAAATAAAGTGAGGACAGTTTTTGAGGGGCTGTTCCTTCAGACTGTACAGTCACATAAGCTCTTTGCAACCTCCTTGATTAAATATTATATATCCCTAGGTATTTTATTCTTTTGCTTGCTAATGTGAATGAAATTGTTTTCTTAATTTTCTATTTATTTGCTTTTTAACAAATACTTATTCAGCACATGCTATGTGCCAGGCTCTGTCTCAAGTGCTTTACAAACACTAATCTTATTCCCATAACAACCCTGTGGAATACTTTCCTTTTTTTGGAAATTGGGCAGTGTGTCTCCTGAGTCCATATTCTGATCCACTACACTATATTGCTGCTTTATAGACCTTCTTTGAGAAGTTTCCTGGGAATCACTTTCTTTACCTCTTTCCACTGCCATTCCACAGTGCAGGCCCTTACAAATTCACACCTGAACCAATCTCCTATTGTGTCCCTAGCTCTCTACCATCAACCCTGAATGCTGCTGCCACCGTTACAATGCTTAAGCACTTCTCTAAATTCTGGCTGGCGTAATGATCTGAAATGCCTTCCCCTTCTCTGCATTTATCAAACGTAAAAAGCGGTTATTGTTCATAAGCAGTACTTGGCCATGGACTTCGTACTGTTTTCTAACATTTTGAACCGTTACTGAAAACTTTCGTTGTGTGAAACAGAGGGGGTGAGAGGAAAGCACATGGGACCTCTTAGGACATGCTCCCCCCATCCCAATCCTTACTCCTCTTCAATCTCAGGTTCTTCATTTGCAAAATAGAGACTGTAACGCCTACCACACACGGTGGTTCTGAGAATTCAGTAGCCGGGGGCCAGAAGGAGAAGGTGGAGGGAGAGGAAGACATGAGGAGAAGGGCAGGGTCCTGGCATGCAGCAAGTGCTAAATAAATGTTGGTTTATTTGTCCCCGACTCAATCTCCCCCCAAAATTTGTAAGCTCTTTGAAGGCAGGGGCCTCGATTCATACTTCTTTGGTATTTCTCAAAAGTCCTGGGCATCAGAGACACTTAATGATTAAACGTCAACAGACACACTTTGGTTATTTGATCATAATGGCTCTTATGACAAAAACGGGCTCTGGAGTGTGACTTCGAATGTTGGCCACTACTAGCTCTGCAACGTCTGGAAAGTCACTTCACTTCTCTGAGCCTCATGGCCCTTATTTATAAAATAACAGTACCTACTTCACAGGGGTGTGAGGCTCACACAAGACGATGCAGGCGAAGTGCTCAGCGCGCAACCAGCCCAACGCTGCGAGCTGTGATTCGACCGTGTCCTCAATGAATCGTCCATCAACATCTGGCCTCTCCGCGTTCTCCTCGCCCCGCGTTTCCGACGCGCACACCCTCCCCCCGCGGGCCCGTCTCCCCGCCCTCTTACCTGCTCTTCCTTCCCGACCGGTCTGTGACCCCCACCATTCATCAGTGCCACAGCCGGGCTCTGTGGGGAGAAAGTTCCACAGTCTCTCCTCGAAACCTCCCAATGGCCTGTGAAACCGGGTCTATGACTGTTGCCACGCTAGAGATGACACAGGCCCAGAGGGTTTGAGTAACTGCCCCGAGGTCGGAGAACCGAAGCGTCAGGCCGGGACCGGCATCCAAACACATCCGCGTCCACAGCCCGGGCTCCGAGGCGCCGGCCGCCGGGCGCCTTCCCGGGTCCGAGCGGCCCCGTCTCCATTCAAACGCTGCCCGGTCCCTCCTCTCCAGTCGCTTCCCGGCTCCTCGGCGCGCCCGTCGCCCCCCACACCTCAGGGTCAGGCCTCCTGGCGGCTTTTTCTTTTTTTCAGTCAGAAACTGAGGGGCGAGCCCGACGTTTGTGCCGGGACGCACGCAGGTCGCCGCGAAGTCCCCGGGAGACGCGCGGCAGGAGAGCACGGCGGTGCACGCGGCTGTGTGGTCCCCGTGTGGCCCCGCGACCCGGGCTCGCGCCTTCGTTTGGGGGCGGGGGCGGCGGCCCGGAGGGCCGACTCCGCCCCCGGTGCGCAGGGTCCGGCCCCGGGAGTTAAAAGGCAGCGGCGCGGGCTCCCTTCAACCCAGTCGGGCGAGCCCCGCAGCCGGGGGCCGCGTGGTGCCGAGAGCGCAGCTCCGACCCCCGCCCTCCGCGTCACACACGCGCTCGGCGCCGCGAGCCGCGCACGTAACGGTTAGTTGGGTCATGGCTGGCGGCGCCCGGCGCTGACCCCGCGATGCCCTTGCTGCTGTGGTGGGGTCAGAGGGACCTACCTCGCGGGTGGGGGGACCTCGTCTCTTCTCCCGACCGAGGACTTCGTGGCCGCGGGCAGCCGCGTGGCCCCAACGCGCAGCGTTGTTGAAGGAGGTGCGGCCAGGGCTCGGGGCCCTGGCTGGGGAGAGAGAGGAATGCGGTCGGGTGACCTGGCGCAAGCCCTTCATCCCGACCGGAGATGCTTTTGATCTGGCAGGAGAGTGACTGGCCTGTGAAATCAAATGGGCTTGATCAACCTCGTGCCTTTCGGGCGCTCTTCGGGGCCTACTCCTGGGGGAGGTGATTTGGAGCGAGGGTGTTTTTTGTTTTGTTTTTTGGCGTCATGACATGCTACCCATTGTTAGGGTGGAAATGCTAGTAGGTGCTCATGGCGCGGGTGGAGAGATTTCTCACGCAGTAAATAAAAGTAAAAAGTTTATTTTATCTTTAGAGGAGAGAGAGAGAGGGAGAGAGAGAGGAAGAGAAAGAAAGAGAGCAGGGAGATGGTGCGGCATCCCAAAGAAAGAGAAGGGGGTGCCATCAGCGAGGCCAAGTGACTCGCTGATTTTAAGGGGAATGATTTTAAGGGGAACGAAGAGAAAAAATAGTGATGGCTGTCAGTTGATAACAAAAGCGACCAGGAGGTGCGTAACAAAAACTGCAAGGATGTCAAAGTCCAAAACTTGGTTTCCTGCCTTTCCTTGGAGAAGGGATTCTCACAGGAGATGTGACTCTGTCCTCAAGATACGGTTGGGGCTGTAGCTCGTTCTGCTGTTTACGCAGGAACTCTGTAAAAGCAGATTCTCAAAAAAACAATTTCGAAAGAGATTTACATCTCTTTTCCGTCCATTCAGCTTTCTTTAGAAGTTGTGCAAAACAGAACTACTGCAGGGTACCTGTTAGAGAACTCATAGGATTGATCTTTAACTGCTACTGGGGAAATCATGGGATTAGGTATTTTCCTGTTATTTTGCAAGGCCACCCCTTTCAAGTATTTAAATATTCTTTGATAAGTTTCACCTGTAAGTGTATATTGAGGTAACAAAACTTCCCTTTTTTATACTTTAGTGTCCAAAAAATGCCTTCTAAAACAACTTTGTAAATAACCATTTATCTGTGCTTAGTGTTAAGTAATGCTATGCTAGACAAACAATACTCAGTTTATTCGTGTTTTGTGGATCGTCAAGTATTCTACAAAAACAAAACTTTGTTCCTTCTTTGAGGTTTGGGCTCAGATATAGCAGTAATAATGTTCAGATTCATTTATGGAATATTAAGCACCTATGTATATAGGGAAGCACTAAGGGGAGACAAATTTGAGTCTCAAATTTGAGATGAGAACTTTCATAATGAAGAATAAAGCTTTGAAATAAAACGTTTGTATGTCGTCCTAATCATCAAAACCTATGAGATATTTTTCATAAAAGTAACTATAAACCATCAAACTTAAGAAACTTAATTATAAAACTAATAGTGTTAAATATTTCTGTGAGTAGTTCGGTTCATATTTTTTTTTCCAAAAAAAGGAAAACCCTTTTTCTCTGTCGGCTCCGTCTTTATGACTACTTATTTTCCCAACTAGGTCTCAGAGAACTGGGTGTGAAGTGAATACTAGCAGTGGTACCCATTTCTGTTCAAAAGCACTAACGTAAATGACCATAACCTTAACACTATACTTGTTTGTTATTTTAAACAAGCCAGTACGTTTCTGCTTCAAACCCTGGAACAAAGTCACGCATATGTTAATAAATTGAAATAGTATATATAGGTTTTGATTTGGGAATATACTTTTTTTTTTTTTTTTTGAGACAGAGTCTCACTGTGTTGCCCCGGCTAGAGTGCCGTGGCGTCAGCCTAGCTCACAGCAACCTCAAACTCCTGGGCTCAAGCGATCCTCCTGCCTCAGCCTCCTGGGTAGCTGGGACTACAGGCATGCGCCACCATGCCCGGCTAATTTTTTCCATATATTTTTAGTTGTCCAGATAATTTCTTTCTATTTTTAGTAGAGACGGGGTCTCGCTCTTGCTCAGGCTGGTTTCGAACTCCTGAGCTGAAACAATCCGCCCGCCTCAGCCTCCCAGAGAGCTAGGATTACAGGCGTGAGCCACCGCGCTGGGCCTGGGGAATATACTTTTTATTGCTGCAGAAATCAATGTTTATAGATTATATTCTAGAATATAATCTGTGAGTTCTGCCAAGCAAAACTTTCCTGTATAGTGTTAAGGTCTTTGAAGCACATGGTCTCTAGCTTCCCTTTCTTCATTATGACTTCATATTCTTTTGTCCATTTTTAAAATGTGGAAAAAAAAGGTCTGCATTTAAAAATTCATGCCAGAGTAAGAAATTGCAAGTAACAAAAACAGCAATTTGCCAATGTGGCAGAATTGTGTTCAGTCCGTGTCTGGGTTTTGAATTTTATTTCCCATAATTCTTTTGGATGCTCTTATTTCATTCACTTTTTTTTCCGGAGACTAAACCCTAGCAATTTTAAATATAATTCTGACACTGTAGAATAAGGTTTCAATACAACAAAATATTACCTAATAAGACTGTGATTATATAGTTCTTGGTGACCAAAAATTCTGACTTTTTAATAAATTATGATAAATCGTAACTGGCAACTAAGCTCAAAGTTTAATCACATTGAGCATGGGTTGTATTAGCTTTTCCAAGTGAACCTTAATGTATCAAACAGCTCTACCGTGATTAGAGTAAGTTTAAGTGTATGTTCTGAGATGGATTAACTTTCATCATTTTTTGACTCTTAATTCAGAGAAAAACTTATAAATTCCTGCCTTGGACTTTCTATTTAATTTTAGAACCCAGATTGTTTCCTTTCAACTGAGATTGGGGCTTCTATAATTCAAAGGAAAATTTTAGAAATGCACTAGGATAAGTAATCTTCAGTTTCAAATGATGATAAGTTTTCAGGAATTATTTGGCAAATCTTTAATTTCATGTGTACCCTAAATTTAAAATGATCTCTCCTGAGATGAGAATGGGTGTCTCAGGACTTCTTTACCAACTCATCCTACACAAATCCTCTTCTCCCTCCTTATAAAAGAAAGGCTACCTCATACATGATATAAAAACCTTTGGGGAACAATCCAAACAAAGGGAAAAATCTAGAATGAGTAGCTCCAGATAGAGAAATATTAAAGGAGGCAGAACCTTATTTCACCTAGGCAACAAACTTCTGCCTTCTATGCCTGATTGTCTTCTGTCAATCGTAGAATTTGAAAGAGTGATAATAGGAATGTTTATCAACTCACTGCTTTGGATTCAAATGAGATCACATGAGTATATTCCCCAAATCGAAACCAATTAGTGGCCATTTTCTATTAATATAAACAGAATGACCCAAGCATCAAGGTTTTGACAAAGATATATCTAAAGCACATAGAGCACAATATACAATATATGCCAGAAATTATGCCTTTGCAACCATTAAACTTACACATTTCAGTAATCAGTGTGTAAGGAGGGGTTACATATATTCCCAAGTTCTTTTGGGGACAAAATAGTTGAAGACCACAGCCTTGGGAGTCACTTTTACACACACCTAGTTCTCTTCAAAGTGAATCTGAGATGTTAGATTAAGAGAAGATAGAATGGTATATATAAATATCATTTTTATATCATTCGGGTTTTCTTTTTCCTGAAAATGAAGTAATTTTTCATCTTTAAATAAAAGCCTCTCAATGATATTCAGGATACAAGTTTGGTTTAAAAATAGATTTAAATTGATAACAGGTCTTACAATTATTTCAATAAATCAGGCACTCTAGAATACAATGAGGAGGTACAACCGTTATCTAATGATACACTAATAGTCCAAGAGCATAAGATCTTTTTCAAATATAGAAAGAAATTAGCCTCTCTACGATGTTAATCCTTAAGAGTTTATTCTCCTTTATAGACTACAGTATTATTATCAGTTTCATACACTTTTACTTTATAATGAACTCTTACAGGAAGAAATTTCTGGTGGTTTTCCCAGATATATACAACTACATTTTCTGTCGTGCTTACAACATCTGCAAAGTGTGGCACATCCAGATCGAGATTCTTATGATAAAGGGGCTTCATAATTGCTTCTTCCATATACCTTATTGAGGTCTGTCAAATTCATTACCATTCCTGTAACTGCATCAGTCTCTCCATGTACTATCACGACAACTTTATAATCATGCCCATGGACATTTGGATTGTTGGCAGTTCCCAAACAGCTTTAAGTTTTCTTCATTGCTCAGAGATTTGCCCTGCTGGCTAGTGATTGGGCACTGCAGGAGTCAAGGCTGTACGCTGTCACCTGGTGGCGAGTCTTCAGGTACCTCTGGTTCATGGCCTTGGCCAGCACCTCCCTTCACATGTGGCAGGGTGGGGCGGGGCTCATCTAGTATTTTACTCGATTTTTTTTCCTGCCTTCCCACCATGTGAATCTTATAAAAGCCTATACTTGTGAAAGAAAATTAATTTGATAGCTCTATCTAAAAAGATACCAGGCAAAGGATATTATGGGATGTGATACAACTTTCCATAGCAGAAACAGAAACCAAGCTAGAGACCAAGTTCCTGCATCACAACCAGCCAGTGTCAGCAGAAACCTTTATCAAGGATGACTTAGGCTTTGGGAGATTGGGACCCAGTGGCGTTGGGGAGACCTTGAAATGGATCCTACGCCAATCATATCTCTTGCAGGGTAAATAGAAGGTGTATTCTGTATTCTCTCAAGGACTTTACTTATCCTTGTTTACTCCATCAGTGAGTGGGAATGGGTGGAAAATTGTATTTCTAAGAATTTCATGGCATAATCTTACCCCTTCTGTTGAATAATTAAAATAGCAGGAGGGAAATCTCTGAAGGAGATGAATCTGTAATTGTTATCAGGCCCTAGAACAGTGACGGCCTCTTGTTCAGATTTGATTCTTACCAATTTC